ACCGGTGAGTGGCGCAGGTGTCGCGCATTAGCATTTACTCCACCGGCCTCGCTCCGTTCCCACGGCTCTCGGCCCCACCCCTCTCGTCACACCATTGTTATGCCCTGCCCAGTCAGCTGCTCATACAAAAACATTTTTTGATGCCGCTAGTGGCACAGAAATTACGCATTTCACTTTTAATCTTCTAAACATAGCAGATGTTGCTATTTTAAAACACGTTACTATGGTTCATGCAGAAAACAGGATGCTATCTCAAAATAAGTACTGATTTATCTGACTTATCTTATTGACTGACATAGCTAACATCTGTACCCTACAACAAAGTTCTTAAAAAGACAGTTCACCCGAAAATTAAAATTCTGTCATTGTTTAATCATACACATATTATTCCTAACCTGTATTAACACAAAAGTTTGGTTATTTAATTAATTGATTAATTTTTGTCATGACAACTCTCAGAAAGTTTTATACATGGCAATGTTAATGTGTTTGTTCTTGGCGGTATAGATCTGTTACGCTGCTGCTGTGGCAGAGCAAGTACCGAGACTTGCTACTGCCATTACATCCATAGACATGCTGCTGTGAGCATGTAGAAAATACTGCTGCTGCACATATATACATCACATCACCCCATAGCAGATCTATACAGGTGGAGCTGGGGAAGGTGGAGGGTTTCTGAAGCCGCTGCAAACTATCCTATCAGCATTATTGTTGAACACTGAATTACCAATAATGTCTCACAACCAGCAGCCCATAATTCTGTAAATTCTATTTAATATGACAAATATGCATTCATTTTCATTTATACATGGTTGTCCATTTTAGTTCTAATTACTGAAGTTCTATCATTAAACAATGCCTGGTTGTTGTTTTTTAAGTGCAATTGTTGCTTTCAAATCATATCACATATGAATGTATCTACAAAAGTGTTGCTGTGCCATTTTGTGAAGATAAGCTTATGTGATTCGAAATGTGCCAAATCATACAAATACAATACAGCATGCCTTGAGTACCTTATTGCTTTTATAAATGGGATACTACACAATTAAAATATTACGGAGTGTTGGAAAGTGCATACGTTAATTCACAGGCAGATTTCACAGATATGACTTGCGTGATTTTCTGTGACAGTAATAAATTCAATTTCTCCTGCACAGAATCCTGCATAAAGGTCAACCTAATGTAAACTGGAATATAGACAGATGGCAACAACTAATGAGAAAGTATGATTTTTCAAAAGATACATTTTTAAGTCAGATTCCACTGTTAAGTTTTGCATGCATTACTGTAATGTAACATTATCAAGATTCTTGATTTTTAGCTTTAATAAAAAGTCAATGGAATATTGACAGCTGGCATCACATTCATTCAGACAGACAGCTGTTCTGGGAGGATGCTGGATTCTTGAATGATTTCCCTCTAAAGACAATAAAAATGTGTCAACAGGAACAACTTGTGGTTGAGTACATTATGACAAGAGTTTTCATTTGTGGGTGAACTGTCCCTTTAAAACAGTACTTCCATGACTTCAACATGTGGCTCACAGTTTCTACAGATATGTCACTTTTGTAAGCCAAATTCATTGTGACTAAGGTTTTTCCATGTTTCCAGAGAAGCGTTGGTTGTCAGTGCCAGTGAATATTATTCATGGTGTAATTTGTCTGTAGCTGTTGAAAATTTACTCCATCCAGAATAAACTTACACTCCAGGTCTCCTGAATCCTTGTGTGTGTGTTACCAATGTTACAGTTTGGTGGCTACAGTAAAACATTGCACAGAGGCAGCAAGGATCTATGTATATTTCACGACCTTTTCTCTCTCTTTCATTGTGTGCATTTGTCAGGGACCAAATTCGGAAAGGTTTGGAGGAACTCCATAAAGTGCGGCCAGGTGGAGACACTTTTATGCATGAAGGCATTCAGCGGGTGAGTGAGCCAATAGGAACCATCTTGGCGTCAGTACCACCCACTCAGCTATGACAAATAGCGCGAAATATCCTTCACGAAGGTTATGTTTGGCCACTACTCTGACAAATGGACCTAAAAACATAGAACTGTTGAGTTTTTAAATGATCTTTCACAGATGGGTAAATGTATTCCTCATCTGTTAGTGAAATAGCCAGTCATTGTGAATGCTGTTTGATCTGCATGAGATTACAATATTTATGTTTTTTTTTTTTTGTACTACTAGGCCAGCGAACAGATTTACTATGGTAACTCTGAGGGTAGGTTCATTTCAAACACTATCTTGCTGAAAAAAGAAACAGTTTAGACTGGTTTTAGATTGCTGGCACGAAATGGTTAAATTTGTTATAGTTGCAGGTAGACCAGCTTAAAGGGATAGTTCAGCCAAAAAAGAAAATTGTCGTCATTACTCACCCTCATGTTGTTTCAAACCCATATGAATTTCTTTCTTCTGTTAAACGCAAAAGAGCATATTTTGTGTTCAACAAAAGAAAGAAACTCATACAGGTTTGAAACAACTTGAGGTTGAGTAAATGATGACAAAAATTTAATTTTTGCGGGTAACAATCCCTTTAACCAGTGTTGGCATGCTAAAACCAACATGAAACCCCTTATATTGGTAAGCAGCAAAAATATGATCTGATATGATATGACCAGTTTAGCTGGTTTAGGCTGTTTCCATTCAGCATATTTTTTATTTCCCTCATATTGTCCATTAAAAAATCTAAATTACTTTGTACCACTAGCTAGTTTCAACATGTTTCGCTGATTAAAAATCTGGCATTAAGTTGCAAACATGATAAAACTTTGATTCTCTGTGAAGGATATCGCACAGCCAGTGTGATCATCGCCCTCACAGATGGAGAACTGCACGAAGATCTCTTCTATTATGCTGAGAGAGAGGTGAGAATGATGAAAGACAGAAGAAGAGAAAGAAAAAGAGTGGAGGGCTTGACAGTCAAAGCAATTAAGTATGCTTTTGCTTTCAGCTTCAACCAACAAAGACATTATTCAGCATCTAATGATCAGAATTACCCAGTGTCCTCTTCATAGATGTTCAGCTTTGCCACATAGTGCCAAAAGCATGATCTGTGGATGAAGCAGTTCATGGCTAATAGTTTGCAGGTGTCTGAAGTGTTTCTGCCCTGTGTTTCCTCCAGGCTAATCGCTCTCGCAGCCTGGGTGCCTCTGTGTACTGCGTAGGAGTGAAGGACTTCAATGAGACTCAGGTGTGTGTGTGTGTGTGTGTTGTTTAGAGGTATAGTAAGCTTTAAAACTTAGATCTAGATTTTAACATTTAGATCTTGGCACTTTTGCAAAAGTGTTACAAGGTTTCTAGAAATGATGCTCCAGGGGTTGGTATATGAAACTTGCACTTGTTTAAGCAAATATACTTTATAATTTTTTTGTAATGCTTTTTTTTTCACTTCTCCTAGCTGGCCAAGATTGCTGACAGCAAAGATCATGTCTTTCCAGTAAACGACGGCTTTGAAGCTCTACAAGGTGTCATTGGTTCAGTGAGTGTTTTTGTTGACGATTTAGTACAGTAAATTGCATTCTGTCACGGTGCGTGTGGAGAGATGAGGCGAGGACTCAAGTTGCAGGAAGAAAGGGTTATTTAATAATAAAATGAAACAAAAACAACAACAAAAACTACTCAGAGGAGGAAAACAAGCAGGCAGGCAGGCCAGAGACATCAATACAAGCAGACATAATACATGCCTCAAGCTTATCGATGGATCAGTACAGGACTGCAAACACCTGGAGAATAAATAGGGAGACAAACGAGGAGGCTAACGAGGGAGACACAGGTGAAGCAACTGAAACAATAATGAGGTGACAAGATGGGAGGGGACAGACAATAGACAGGAGAAAGCACATGGCACCAAAGAAACACAACAGAAGCCATGTGCCTACAACCACACAGTGTCCTCTGGTGGCCATCCTGGGCACACCAGCTAAAAACTGTGACAGAACCCCCTCTCTAAGGAGCGGATTCCAGACGCTCCACAGTCCGGGGCACAGAACAAGAGTCCAGGAGCGCGGTGGAGAGGAGGCGGAACAGGGGGAGGGATGGTGGGCCAGGCCCGTGGAGTGGAGGAGGGCCTGGAGACTGTGGCAGAGCAAGTGACCAGGGCAGAGCCGGCAGAGCAGGAGGCCAGGGTGGAGCAGGCGGAGCTGAACTTCTCCAGGGCAGAGTATGCCGAGCTGAAGCCCACCAGAACGGAGAATGCAGAACTGAAGCCCACCAGGGCAGAGCTGAAGACCACCACAGCCTCTCAGAGAAGGCTGAAGACCTCCACGGTGGTGCAGCAGACCACCACAGCTGAGAAGGCATGACTGAAGATCTCCATGGTGGAGCAGATGACCACCACAGCAAAGCAGATGGGAGAGGGCCATGGTGGATCAGGTGGCGCTGGCGACCACCACATTAGTGCAGGTGGGGCTGAAGACCACCATGGTGGCGCTGTAGACCACCAAGGCAGCACAGGCAGAGTTCTTGACCACCATGGTTGAGCAGACTCATGGGTAGAAGTAGGCTCTGGCGTAGAATCTGAGAACTCTCCGGACTGGAGTGGATTCTGGAGTGGACTCTGAAGGCTTCCGGACTGGAGCGGGCACTATAGTGGATTCTGAAGGCTCCCGGACTGGAGCGAGTTCATGAGTGGATTCTGAAGCAGCCCATGCCCGCAGAACAGCCATGAGGTGAAAGGCAAAGACAGCCTTCTTGATTATGGCAGCAGCAGTGAAATCAGGCAGCTCTGTTGTGACCTCTGAGACCACCGGAGTCAGGTACTCCAGGACCACCAGACTTGAGCCCACCAGAGTCAGGTCCTCCAGGACCACCAGACTTGGGACCACCAGAGTCGGATCCTCCAGGACCACCAGACTTGGGACCACCGGAGAAATGCCAGCTGCTCTGGCTGAGATCAACGGTGGATCCACCAACCTGGAAGCCAATCTCAAACGCCTTGGGCCCACCCAGGGAAGAGGTTCCAGACTGGCAGCCATCTTGTGAATAGGCTCAGGAACTGACTGTCTCTCCCTGTGGGCTAGAAAGTCCACAAACACCCCAAAAGACAGGTGCTCTGTGCCGAACCTCCTCCAAATGCTGATGGGCTCATCAAGGGCATAGTTGAATAGTTCCTTGAGAGCCGCATCGTTGTAGTCCAGCCCCTCTGCAGCACTCCTGAACTCCACAACAAACTCTCTCAAGTCAGTCCCCTGCTGACGGAGGGAGCTCAAGGCCTTGAGCTGGAGCATGCATTGGTAGAGGGGGCTAGGGAGAGTGGAGACAGGTGAATGGCGCACACCCTTCTTCTGCTGAGTCCTTATCTAGGCTGATCCGTTCTGTCGTGATGCGTGTGGAGAGATGAGGCGAGGACTCAAGTTGCAAGAAAAAAGGATTATTTAATAATAGAATGAAACAAAACAACAACTACCCCGAGGGGGAAAACAGGCAGGCAGGCAGGTCAGGGACAACAATACAGGCAGACATAATACACGCCACGAGCATACTTGACGACAAACAACGGATAAGCACAGGACTGCAGACACCTGGAGAATAAATAGGGAGACAAACGAGGAGGGTAACGAGGGAGACACAGGTGAAGCAACTGAAACAATAATAAGGTGACAAGATGGGAGGGGACAGACAATAGACAGGAGAAAGCACATGGCACCAAACAAACACAACAGAAGCCATGTGCCTACAACCACACAGTGTCCTCTGGTGGCCGTTCTGGGCACACCAGCTGAAGACTGTGACACATTCTATATGAAAAATTGTGTTGTAAGAAAAATCACACTTTAATCATTATATAAAACAAATATTATTATGATTGTTTCCATTCATTTAACTCAGGTCAGGTTTTTTTCAGCATTAATTCAATTTGAAAGTAGTTGAAAAATTATAACGCATCCCTGCGGGATGTAATTTTGGTACCACATTGATTTTATTTAATATTTTAAATAAAGTAATTTTGTTTAAGCAATTAAACGTAACTTTTAAATTTAAATTAGGTGATTTTTTTACAGTGAAACTTCATCATTCATTCATTCATGCACTCTCTACGCATTGCTTTCTTTCTGCTGAATTAATTTAATTCTTATTTCAATTCAATTCAATTCAATTTGACCAGTTTCAGAAAAGTCTCTAATATCTAGACACCCATATCCATCAGAACCTCCAGTAGTTTGCAATTTGAAATATTTTGAGTTAGTGGTCAACTGATATATCACCAAAGGTCAATATGTGGGCCAATTTTCTTTTTTTTCTTTCTGTTTGGCCGATGTGTCGGAAACGAGACTCTTATTTTGACTGCACTGAGAACATCAGAGCCTGAGTGTCAGATCTCCCATTCTCCATGTCTCGGTTTAATAGTAGTTTGAATATAAATAATATTTTATATTAATTAAATACAGTACACAAAAATTATTTTAGCATTTTTAACTAATATTAGTAGATAATCTACTATCATAATTCAGCAAATACACATTTAAATATTTTTAAAATGTGTAATAAACATATGCAACAAATTTAATTTAATTAGCATAAAATTTGC